CTGTTTCAGCAACTTAAAATATACACCTAATCTCTCTCTCTCTCTCTCTCTCTCTCTATCTATCTATCTATCTATCTCTATCTCTCTCTCTCTCACACACCACACACACACACACACACACACACACACACTCATTCACTCACACATGTATTTGCTCCAGTGTATTCTGTGAATAACATGGTCTCCTCCCATTCAGTTCAATTACCTTAGCACAGGAATTTTTAGTTATTATGTCCACATACCTGTCACTCTGTCATTTATAATATTTAATTGGCACATTTCCCAGGCTTATTAAATTGGTGAGCTCCAAACATTTTGAGATTACCTCAATGAGAAGAAACACTGTCCTCAGTTTCAACTGGATTAAATAATTAAAAAAATATTCCTGGGCTGGGGTTGTGGCTCAGTGGTAGAATGCTCACCTTTCATGTGGAAGGCACTGGGTTTTATCCTCAGCACCACATAAAAATAAAATAAAGGTATCATGTCCATCTACAACTAAAAAATATTTTTTTAAAATAAAATATTCCTAGTCTTTGAAGAAATTAAAAAAAACAGTACACTTGGTTAATTTGAAAATGTTGTAAAAGTTGCCTTAAAATAGATTTTTAAAAAGGATTTATCAGCATCAACACAGCACAGGAACAGTAAGCCAGTGACACTCACAGTTGATTATCTGGTACACAGTAGGGATTCCAATGTACGAATAAACCAGAAACAAAGCATAAGTAAAAATGTGAAAATTAGTTTACTGGCTAAGTTTCTATTTTTTTTTAAACTACCATCTTCTTTGTTCAATAACCTCAAACTATTTTTCATCAAAAACTACATAAAGATAACTACTAAAAATAACTTAAACAATATATTCCACAACTTATAATACTGTTTCAAAGATAATCAAAAAAATGCATTTGTACATATTTTTCACAAGACTAGGAAAAAAAATCAATACAAAGAAGTAAAAATGAGTCAAAATATTGGCATTTATAGGAAAGACACAATATTACAAGAATTACAATATAATTGCTTTTTATGGCAGACTTGAAAATGTACTTCTAATTATAAACACTTCTACAGATTACTTATCTACATTTGTTACCTAAAAAGAGAGAAATTAAAACAAGAATCTTTCAATGGTCCTTAACCAAACAATAACACTTTTTAATTAATGTAAATTAAAAAATAAACCTATTATGACTATCAATCTAATTCAACTGTAAACTGCTTAAAACATAGTTTCTAGAAAGGAATTTAGTTTGAAAGGGTAGGTATACATATAGTCATAACCTTTGGTTGCAAAATATTTAAAAACTTGCTTTTCTCATCTAAAAACTCAAACTACTTTCTTTTTTCAACTCTATTATTTTGAACCATAAACTTAGAAAATATTTTTTTGAATGGACTTCCCTTATAAATGGTCCTAAAGCTTGATAATGAGACCTTCTCAAAAGACTTTTCCAAGTACCTGGCCACTAATAGCAACAAACCTTGAAACAGAGGGTATAGAGCATATGATAAATAAAACCACCCTCTGAAAAGACATCACACTACAGTTTATAAAAGTTTTCAAAGATTGCAGACACCATCTACCATTTCCATGAAGTCCATCTTCCCAGCTAAAGGTAAAATCTAACCAGGCAGCACATATCAATTACTACATTCTCCCACTCCTTGATACTTACTTGCAGCCTGACAATGAAATCGAAATCCTCGTGGAATTTCTCCTGTAATACAAAATATTTTGAGAAGCAGAAATTTGGAAGTTCCCTACTTGTACTATAGTAATATTCCAAGTTACAGCATGCGTAGGTAATTTTTATTATGTGAAAATACAAAAAATTAAACCTTCAGTGTTTGTTTTTTAACCAAAGACAGAGACTACCCAAGAACTTGGCATATTGTCTAAACTACTTTCAAAACTTACTCCTTACAGACAAAAATACTCTAATAAAAAAGCTTTTGGCCAGCTGGGTTCATGGCCCAATAGTAGAGCATTTGCCCAGTACGCGTGAGGCACTGGGTTCGACCCTCAGCGCCACGCAAAAATAAATATATAAATAAATAAATAAATGAAATTCCAAATGCTCTTCCACACCAGGGGCTAAAATGCTCCTATATGAAAAAGGAAAGAAAAATTAGTGAGCTACTTCACTTAATACACCAGCTAACGCTCATAGCCACTAACTTCCCAGATAAGATGCTGATTATTAGGTTAATGTTGATATAAATGTCAATGTCAATCATCTTATTGCTACCAATGATATCAGCCATATCACCAATACCAAATTTGATAGGGAAAAAATCCAGAAATATTTAAAAAACAGGCATAAAATAGATAATAAAATCAGAAGACAAAATATGGATGCTTATTTATTTACCTTAATGGGACAGGCTGAACATCAAATGGAAATTCTTTATTATACGTGAGAATATTCTTTAGGACTAGAATAAAGACATAGACCAACATTAGTCTTATATCTTAGTCTTACATGTTATGTAAGTCTTATATATTAGTTAGTCTTATATGTTATATCTTAAATTGATACTTTTAATCATA